TTTCCTCACCGGTATTGCTCGTCAAAAAAGCGGATGGAAGTTGGCGGCTTTGTGTTGATTACCGAGCTCTCAACAACATTACAATCAAAGACAAATACCCAATCCCTGTCATAGACGAACTCCTCGATGAATTATATGGATCTCGGTATTTTTCAAAGCTGGACCACCGTGCTGGATATCATCCAATACGGGTCCAGGAGGCTGATATTCATAAAACTGCTTTTCGGACACATGACGGACATTATGAATTCATTGTGATGCCCTTCGGACTTACGAACGCCCCCTCCACCTTCCAGAGCTTAATGAATGACTTACTGCGACCTTACTTGAGGAAATTTGTTCTAGTTTTTTTTGATGACATTCTAGTGTACAGTAAAAATTGGGATGACCACCTCGGCCACCTACGAGCAGTTCTTCAAGTTTTATCTAGCAATCAATTGTTTGCCATGAAATCTAAATGTTGTTTTGGTGTATTACAGGTGGCATACCTGGGCCATCTTATTTCTCTCGCCGGCGTGGCCGTCGACCCAGAAAAGATCAAATCAGTTCGTATGATTATATTATTGAGTACAAGAAAGGAAAAGATTCTTGAGTATGATTATATTATTGAGTACAAGAAAGGAAAAGATAATTGCGGTGCTGATGCCCTTTCACAAGTTGGAGAGCTCGAATTCCTTGCTGTGTCTTTGCCCATCGCCGAATGTTGGACTACACTCCAACAAGAGGTAGTGACCGATCCATTCTATGGTCAATTGCTGGCCTCACTACCCTCACATCTCCAGCCACAGTTCTCCTTACGTGATGGGGTGCTTTTCAAAAAGGGGTGCATCTATCTGAGTCCTTCTTCGCAGCTACTCCCTGCCATTCTTTCCGCACATCACTCTTCGCCAGTTGGTGGACACTTTGGCTATCATAAAACATTGAGCCGCATCAGCAACAGCTTTGTTTGGCCTCATATGCATACCACGATCAAGGACTTCATCAAATATTGTGATGTGTGCCAACGTTACAAAACTGATTGTTCGCGTCCTGCTGGTCTACTACAGTCGCTACTCATACTCGACAAAGTATAGACTGATATTTCCATGGATTTTGTGGAAGGGTTGCCACTGTCTCAAGGCAAAAATGTCATCATGGTGGTAGTCGATCGCTTGACTAAGCATGCGCATTTCATTCCACTCAAGCACCCATTTACTGCACTCACTGTGGCCAAAGTATTTCTCGAACAAATTGTTCGACTTCATAGCATACCCAAATCCATTGTAAGTGATCGTGATAAAATTTTTATCAGCTCATTTTGGAAAACTTTCTTCCAGCTGCAAGGTACAACTTTTTGTATGAGCTCTAGCTATCACCCCCAAACCGACGGGCAGACAAAAGTGGTTAACTGCACACTGGAGCAATATCTCAGGTGCTTCACGCATGAGCAGCCAAAGAAATGGTCTGAATGGGTTGCGTGGGCCGAATACAGTTATAACACTTCCGTCCACTCATCCACCAGAATTTCCCCTTTTGAAGCTGTGTATGGGCAGCCTCCCCCAACTCTTCTTTCTTACATCCCTGGCACAACCAAAGTTCAAGCCGTGGATGACCTCTTGCGTAGCTGGGACGAGATTCTTCGTGATTTACATCGGAATTTGGCCATTGCACGTGACTGCATGAAGACACAAGCAGACCAACATCGCCAGGAAGTTGTTTTTGAGATTGGTGATTATGTATACCTTAAACTTCAGCCATACCGACAGAAAACAGTAGCTTTCCGCAACTCCATGAAACTCTCGCCTCGATTCTTTGGTCCTTATCCAATCCTTGCCAAAGTTGGCCCTGTGGCTTACAAACTCAAGCTACCAACAGATTCCCAAATCCATGACGTCTTTCATGTGAGTCTCTTGAAGAAACACATCGGCCCAGTTGCGACTGCCTCTAACCGATTGCCACCTGTGTTTGACGCATCTGAGGTCCTTCCCCAACCTGAAGCAATGCTGGACACCCGTGTCATCCGCAAAGGACGTTGCCGACCGAAAACTGAGATTTTGATTAAATGGTCGAGTGCACCCATTGAGGACGCTACCTGGGAGAACCGTTGGCGTTTTTCAAAGACCTACCCTAACTTTATCCTTGCGGACAAGGATACTGTAAGGAGGGGGGAGTGATATGTTTGTGGGGTAATGATGGAAGTGGTCATGCATAGGTGGAATATATTGCCTTAGAAATAGGCTTAGTAATAGGTTGTTTTCCTTCCTGTCTGCACATGTTTCATTAGTGGTAACATGTTTCATTATGGTAGTTTGTTTTCATTATTTTCAGCACATGGTCGTAAACCACTTCTTCCATGATCTACCACGTCTTTTTTGCATTTATCTTTTGTATACTGTTTTCTGACTTGGCTTATAAATAGCCTGGGAACTATTGAATAAAAGGGGTAAGTTTAATTCCCAGCTTTGTTCCTCTCTCAAGCCTCTGTTCTTCTTCTTGCTCTCTTTCTCTAACTGTTTTCTCAGAAATTCCTTATCATTTCACTAGTGCCATTGATATCTATAGTTCTTCACGTGTCCATCTATCATTGTATGTATATTTGGAAACCACACAAACATGTGAACTCAGTTTGGTTTGGGGCAATGCCAGTTGGTGGAGATGTCCCCAATTTTTTGAATCATAGAAGTGCAAACACTTTAATTATTCAGGAATTGAAGTTAAAATAGAGTCAGTTTTTCTGTTTGTGATTCTATGAATTCTTACATATTCTTCTTCTTTCAAAGGAGTAGCAACACAAAATCCAGGTTTACAGTCTGAGCATGAGGCCTCAAGCAGTTATCACCAATCAAACTTTATAAACTGTTTTTCTTGTTATCTATTGGTTGCCTAGAAAATAAAGAAGAGGAAAATGTTTAGTAGAGATTATTTATTCACTAAAAGTAACTTATACAGAAAGAAGAATGTTGGTGGAAGTGGTTGATGGGCGATAGGAGGTAGTTGATGGTTGTTGAAGGTGAGAGGACTCACTGGCAGTGTTTGCTGGTGATGGTAGCCATAGAAGGGGAAGCCAAAGATGGTGATGGGCCATGTGTGGTGGCTGAAGGCGTGGGAAAGGAAGAAGTGATGAAATTTGTTCGCAAAACAAGTAAAAATAATTTTTTAAACTAGAATTTTATAAATTTTATAAATTGTTTATAACTTTAAAAAAAAAAAAATAGACATCAAATGAGTATTTATTTCTAGTAATAATTTTTTTAAAGCATATAAATAGAAAATTATAGTCATAAATATGACTAAGAGATTTGAGTTGTTTCTTTATAAAGTAACAATAATGTTAGAATGACAGTTTTCTTTTCTCATAATTTGTTTATCACTTTATATATTAATAATTTTATTGGTTTAATCCACTAAGTAGTGTTGACAAATAAAATATAATAAGAAAATATGGCCTATTTTAAATAAAATGTGGTATAAAAATATATCTAAACTAGCATATTAAATGGTAGAAATATATTTGATTTTCACCATTAGGGGGATTTATAGTTCTATAGGACTATTTGTTTCATGTCATTTTTAATCACCAAACATAATTATGTGAATCTCATTGAACTGTTAATCGAATCGGGTCACCATTAAAGCTAGACAAATATACTCTGAATGTTTGAAATTATCTTTTTTTAGTGCCTTATTTATATATTTTCTTTTTCAATGAATTTTTTATATAAAATAATATTAAAAAATCATCTCATTTTATGTTCTACTTAACTAGAAAAAAAATATATATATAAATTGTCTTTACTATTTTTATTTTTATTTTTTGAATATGAAAAGTTGATAAAAAAATTGATAGAATTTTTTTAACAAAAATTGTTTATGTTGTTAGATCTATTAAACTTATTTTTGGTTTCGTTTTGATAATTTTAATTGTTCATATTTTAGTATTTGTCCAGTCATAATCTTTGCAAAATATTAAGTTGATCGGATAACGATAACTATATGTTCAGATTTGTTTCATATGAAAAAATGAACAGTGAAAAAAAAAATTCATACAAAATTAATCTGAATATTTGTCATTGCCCAATTAACTTGATTGATGAATTCTAAAATACGAATAATTCAGAAGATTAAAACGTGATCCAAAAATAGGCCTAATAGACCTCACAACATATCTCCAGTCCGATTAAGCATAGGAGAGAAGTCCATTCCCCTTTTAGGGTTGTTTGGCATGATGGATATAAGTACACTTATTTAAAACATCCTCAGCAGATCCCTTATAATAGCAAAAAGCTATTATAAGGGGTTGATTCTTCAAAATTCCTTTCCCACTAGATCCCTTATACAACCTTTTAAAATTAGGATTACTACAGTCACTGTAGCTCCCTTATATCTAACAGTCGTTGTCCACTCGGATGTACCAGATGAAAAGATCTGGGCAAAACTCGCTTCGCTGGTGTCCACTCGGATATCCGGCCGATCGACCTCCAGACGTTTAGCCCCTGGCTTTTGCTACTTTCTTATGTAATTATTTGACTATATAGCAAGAAACATGGAGTTGCCTTTGACCCCCATTTTTTACTTTATTTTATAATGTTTAATTATTTTATTATTAAAAAAATATTCAAATTTAAAAACAATTAAAAATATTATTTTAATTGAATAAAGAAAGAATAAAGAGTTTGTTGGAGAAGGTAGACCAAAAAATAATTCTTAAAATAAGAAATGCATTTTTTAATAATATTTTAGGATAAAATTTAAGTAAACTGGTAAGGATGCTATTAGATAAATGTACTCACCACCTCTCTACTTTTATACATATTTTTTTTATAAAAAAAATAAAAAAATATATTTATTTAAATTATTCCAAATAAGCCGTTAGCTGCATCCCAAGCTCATGGCTCCCAGAGTCTCAAATTGAGGAGGACAGTGCAATAATCCTAATTTAAATGCATGTACAAGATTGAACAATTGGGAGGGAAACACACTATCACGTCTCTCAACACCTTTGAAGCTCTCACGAGACGACAATGGCGAACCTTTCCGAAGAGATTATCATCGAAATACACTCGAGACTTCCCATCACCACTCTCTGCCAATTCAGGTCTGTTTCGAAACCATGTTCTCTCTGATCTCCAACCCTCACTTCATCAAAACCCACCTCAATCGCAACACCAGCGAGCACGACCGACTCATTCTCCTATTCAACTCTCTCGATTTCTACTCCGTCCTTCTCAAATCGTCCCAATTCAGCCACGATTCATTGGCTGCTCTGCACCTAAAATTCCCACCAAATCAATACCCTAATCATGGTCTCTGGTCTTTGCGTGGTTCGTGTAATCGCTTGTTACTGATGCTTCATAACAATCGCTCTTCTTTCTTGATTAACCCATCTACTAGACAGTCTGGAAAAATACCCAATTCACCTTTTTCAAAAAAGTCTACATTTTTTTTATAAATTTTTTTGTGATAGTTATGGACTTGGCTATGATTCATCCAATGATGACTACAAAGTTGTGAGAATTTCTCATTATTTCTGTATATCTGATTGTACTGATAGTATTATAGTCAGTGTGTATACAAAAAGTACTGATTCATGGTGAAGGATTGAGGATTATTCTTATCCCGGTAACCCTTTTATATTTGAATGTCCATCGGTTATTTTTGTTAGTGGCTCTCTCCATTGGTTAGCTACGGATTCGAAAAAGTTGGATGTTATTGCTACATTTCATTTGGCAGATGAAAATTTCCAGATTATGCCATTTCCAACTCTGCAGTATGCTCACCGTCTTAAGCTTCGGCTTGGTGCCCTTGATGGGTGCCTTCGTGTGCTTGTTCCTCTCAGTAATGGTTGCCAAGATGTTTGGGTGATGAAAGAGTATGGTGTGAGAGATTCCTGGACCAAAATCACAATCGGTTCGAAAATCTTGTGTTTACCAAGGACTGGCCAAGTTTTGTTCGAAACGAGAAGAAATAAGCTAATGCTCTTTGATCCTCAAGAAGAAAAATGTAGGGAGCTAGTGGTTCGAAGCGGTTCATCTCAATTTGAAGCAGGAACTTATGTGGAGAGCCTTGTTTCACCCAATTGGAGCAACATGATCAAGAGGTAATAATACTATTACCAATCATCGCAGAAAAGAATACTCCTGGACAGGTAACCCGATTGAAATGAGCATAACCTATTTTTTATCACTTCATTTTACTTCTATATGTCTATGCCGCTGCATTGTTCTCTCTTTTTTGTTTGATTGCGTGGGTAACCTATAAGGTCCATTTTGTTATTCGTTTTTGGTCAATTGCAAATGAATCTTTCATACCATGTGGCATAATTGTTTAGTTTTTTAAGATGATTGATATTATCATTCTTCATTTTGTCAGTCTTTCTTTCCATCTCATATATTTCTTTCTAACACCTATTTATCAAAAATAAAAAATAAAAAAATTCTTTCTAACACCAAATAATATAGGAGAAATATCACATTAGTGGTATTTTCAAAGAATTATTACAAATCAATGTTAAATCTTATAAATGTTAACAATTAAAAGTTTAAACTTTTTTATGATTTTGTAATTTTTTTTTCCCCAATGAATCACTGTTTCGTATTTCTCCCAATAATATGTATGTCCTAGATGATTCTGTTGGTTAGGATGGGATGCTTTAAAGGCTTTAGAAAACAATGACGATGTGACAAAGACGCTGCATCAATATTTTCAGGGAAAGTTTCCTGAAGGTGATTAAAAAAAAAAAAAATGAATTGTTTTGTTGGTTCTTGAATTCATTGAAAACTACAGATACCCAAGGGCTCACGGTTGAGTTGAGACAACATGTTTTATATATATTTTTTGCAAAGTTGTGAATGGTTATATGCATAATTTTTATTTATTTCTTTATTTATTTTTTCTTGAATAAAAATCCATTATGATATTTTGTTATGATTTCATTTGCACTTTCATTTATTCTTCCAGTTATACATTTGTTGAAACAAACTGACCATAGGGATACATGTAAGTAACTAAGCATAATTAAAAAAAAAAACTTTTTTATGATTTTGTAATTTTTTTTTTCCCAAAGAATCACTGTTTGGTATTTCTCCCAATAATATATATGTCCTATATGATTCTGTTGGTTAGGACGGGATGCTTTAAAGGCTTTAGAAAACGACGATGTGACAAAGACGTTGCATCAATATTTTCAAGGAAAGTTTCCTGAAGGTGATTAAAAAAAAAAAAAAATGAATTGTTTTGTTGGTTCTTGAATTCATTGAAAACTACAGATGCCCAAGGGCTCGCGGTTGAGTTGAGACAACATGTTTTATATATATTTTTTTCAAAGTTGTGAATGGTTATACGCATAATTTTTATTTATTTCTTTATTTATTTTTTCTTGAATAAAAATCCATTATGATATTTTGTTATGATTTCATTTGCACTTTCATTTATTCTTCCAATTATACATTTCTTGAAACAAATCGAGGAGTCGCCATTACTTGAGCCCACCATTATTATGGACCTACCTGAAGAAACTGAATTGACCGAGCCTCTTCCGGAAATCTCATTCCATGCAATAGCAGGAACGGCATATCCTCAAACATTCCGAGTGATGGGTAAACTAAATCCCCTCATTTTCTCTTTGAACCCCCATCTTAATACCAATTATACCCCATTTTTTTAACCCCCAACTTTTTTTTCTGCAATTTTCTTACCACCGGCAGCCAACTACTCCGGTGACCTCCCCGCACCTTCCCCACTGGCGACCACCATTCCACAACCTCCGACCATCGCGACCTATTTTCTCATCTTTTTTTTCCCCAGATCTGGTCTCTCTCTCTCTCTCTCTCTCTCTCTCTCTCGGCAGATCTAAACTACGATTCATGGCGATGATCTAGTCTGTCCATGCACGACAGGTCTTCGACGGTTGCGGCAATCCTACGGTCGAGGTTTGATTTCGAACTCTTCTTCTTTGTCTGAACTTGATCACTGATACAGATCTTCCTACAGTTTGAGCTCACCGAGCTGAATTGATGATTAGATGATCATAAAAACGAATCGTGCAGTGTATTTTTTGATTGTTTTTAGTTCGTATGCTCAAATCTATGGATTCTCATTGCCAATGGAGATGGTGGTCTTCTTTCGCTCGAAGCACTGGACGAACTCAACCGGAGGAGCTGCCATTGTTAGAGAGATTATGAGACCTGCAAAACCCTAACCCTAGATAAATGAGGAGCCAATTGACGACGAATGAAGGAGTGACGTGAGAGAAACAGAGGTCGCCGGCGGCAGTGGCAGTGGTGATCGCCGGTGGAGATGGTGGTGAAAATTTTTCTGGGTTAGGGTTTGGGAAATTAGGGTTAGGGTTTGGAAAATTAGGGTTAGAATATTAAGGATAAGGGTAAAAATGTAACTTTATATTTGGATAAAATTTGAATTAAAAAAATAAAATAGATAAGGGGTCCAAAATAATTCATGGGGTGCTAATAGCACCACTCAAAAAAAATTCGGCAACTTACCTGAATCATTGTGAATTTCATGTTTCATTTTGTTTCCTGAATGAAAGTGTTTCTTTTGTTCCTATTAGGTCCCTCCAAGCACAGATGGAAGCATGCGAAGCCAAGAATAAAGTAGACCTGTCAGAGGCAAAGAGATATAGGTTGGATGAGTGAGCCATCCAGTTCCAAGAGTGATCGTTTCATCCTATAGAATAACATGGACAGACAGCCACCAGGCTATTTGAGATCCTCAATGGAAGTAGGTATTTGTCAAGATGCATGTGGAAAGGATGATGGTTTAGTTGAATAGGCTTGAGTGTCTTCTATATTTTTGTTGGGTTGATGTTACTCCATGTTATTTGGTGGTGTCAGTAATGTGAATTTGTTAACATTAGTGTCATTTTGATATTTATGTGATGTCGTGCAAGTTTTTTCTCCACCTTGAATTGGTGTCTGTATGTCTTCTTTTTCTTTCTTTTTTATTCTGGTTGAATTATTTTTTTTCAGGCTATGAAGCATAAAAGGGAACTTTTTCGATTAGACTTCTCTTCATACACAACAATTCTATGTTCCTTTCTAGCAAAACATGAATGGATGCATGAATGTTATGCACAACTTGGCTTGTCACAACTATTGCAAAGTATTTGGCCTGGCATATGCCCTTTACCAATTGTTCCCTATCTTGTATAATGTAATGGATTTTCTCACAATCTATCTTGCGCATGCCTATAGGCTCCCTGTTTGTGAATGGTATAAATTGTTTATTTGTGATTAGTTATTTCTAATTGTTTTCATTCGTCTTGGTTTGTTTCTGCATGAATTTTTAAAGTTCTTCATAGGGATCTCTACCAAGTACAATCTGGTTCATAGGCATGGGCATTGGTCCAATCAAATGGTAATTAATCTTCATCATGTTTGAGTTCCTAAGTTGGGAAACAATGTTGATAAACTGAATTTTACATTTTGTCAAAGATGAAACATTAAAAGATTATTGGTTTTTGGATCAGGTATGAAAATATTATGAAGGGTAATGATGAATCTATTAGATCATTTAATATCTAGAATTGCTTTAATAGACATATACAGAGTTTGTATAATGAAACATAACTCTCTCTCTCTTGTTGTGCAACCTTTGGTAACCATGGTTTTGGGTTTGCCAATAATTTCACCTCAAGCTTGATCTAGGTTGTGATATTCAAATTAGGATTGAAGTGAGATAACTAAGCTTAAATCTTCTATAGATGTGTCATTATTCCAAAGTTTGGTGAACTCCCAGCTTATGTCTGAGTTGTTATGCTACACCAAGGCTTTAGGTTCTTTTGTGATTATTCAAGTCACTGGTTCTCTAAGGATTTTGTCCATCATACTGGTGCTTATGCACCACTGCCCCTGAATCTTTTTGTGACTGATCCCATACCTTTTTTCACTTTTTGCATATCCCATTCATACCTTTCAATGGTCCCTAAGAGGACTGCCCAGCAGTATAGGTTTGTATTTTGACCCTCCTTAAGGTACTTGGAAAAAAAAAAAGAAAAAAAAAAGTGATCTTGCAATGAAATGTTCATGATGCCGAGAGCTTTCAAAATTCCAGAATCCCAATGAGGTCCAATTTTATTTTATTTTATTATTTATTTATTTATTTATTTCTTTCTTTTTTTTTTTGTGGATAAATATACGAAGTCCCAACTGTTTTTCGATTTTATTCTTTGTTCACCCAGAAAACCATCTTATAAATGAAATTTCGACAAGTCTTCTCTCTTTAATTCATCTATGGTTTATTGCCCTTATGTAGAAGTTGCAAAGTTAAGAGGGTAGATATGTGACTATCGTTTATTAGATGTTGATAGTTTATTTACTTTATTTTGTTTTTAGAGGAAAAAATGTTTGCCTGATTGCCTACACAACATTGTTTGAGTGGACCCGGTTGGAACGGCTGATGCATTTTCTTGGCCATATTGTGGCCTTTTCATTTGCGATCTACAGAAGTGCAGCATATTATTTTTAAAATTTTTGTTGCTATTGGTGGCTTTTTGTTTCAACTAGCAGAAAAACTGATCTGTTTCCCATTATAGCTGGTGTTTGGCCATTTAAATTGACATTTTTATTCAAATTTTTTAGCTTTCTTTTTGTTTTTGTTTTTGTTTTTTGTTTTTTGTTTTTTGTTTTTTTTTTTTTTTTTTTGGTTTTTTGTGTTTTTTTTGGGTCCACAGTGGCATTTTCTGAGTGCTCCTGATTGTTCTTTTCACAATGTTCCTTCTTGAAACTTTCTTCAGTTGGTTTTGTTGATCACATATAATCTGGACCACTAGCAAGAATATATACAGAGTATTGTATCTGTTATTCATTCTCATTTTTCTTTCAAACATATTACTATGTCACATTTTAATCTGTTATATTGGTTGGATGTTTGAAAATATTTAATTTCAAAAACTATTATAAGATGTACTTATAGATTTCTCTGTGTTCTAATTATCTCATCTTTCGAGGGCACAATCTGCAGCATGAGGCAGTGGTGCTTGGAGCAGAACAACTGCAGTTTCAGGAATCAACCGTTTAGTCGTTCAATGATGCCTTATGGAGAAGAGAGAGAGAGAGAGAGAGAGAATGGAATAAATAGAGAAAGTGGTTTGCAGCTGAATTTGGTATAAACCTATTTTATTATCTTTGTTTGGAGTTTGAACCTAATATTGCTTTTCTTTGTGTGGGTGATGCTATGGTACATTTAAATGTACCATACATTTAGTTATGAACTTATATGATTTTACATCATAACCAATACCATATTAGTCATAACTACTACCATATTAAGTCATAACTTAGTTATATTCAATTATTTACTTATACCATATTACTTCATAACCAGGTCATAACTAAGATATTTAAATAATTTGAGTCTCAAATTAGGCAACCTGTGTAACCGGTTACCAAACAGAGCAAAAGTTCAGAGTAGTCCAACAGTCGGAAGTCAGTTGGTCTCTCTCTCTGGCTCGTGCTGCTGCTCTTCTCTTCTCCTCCCTCCTCTCTTCCACCATAGCCGAAGCTTCAGCCATTGCCGAAGACCACCAGCCCCGTCGGCGTCGGGGCCACCATTCTCTCGGTGTAGACATCTTTCTTCATAACCTCTCACTGTCATGACGTGAAGAACTAGAGTTTCTTCCATTCTAATCGAATATTTCCAAGAGATATTTTCTGTAGCTCAGGTTTGTTTCTAACTCTAAACTTCATGAATTGGGTTGCAAAACTTTTTCATTGCGGGTATTCCAAATCATTGTACAATAAAACATTAGATTATCAGTATAGTATTGGATATATGGCACCAGAGTACTCCATGGATGGAAACTTGACAGCAAAATCTGATGTATATTCATTTGGTATGGTATTGCTGTCAGTATTATGTGGTAAGGAGCCATATGATAATGTGGAAGGCTGGGGTATGTGATTAGTACGTCGGTTCATGAATGGTATCAAAACCATTGATCAAGTCATTGATCCAAGTCTGATAGGGAAAATAGCACCAAAATGCTTGAAGGAATTTGTTAATATTGCATTAAGTTGTCTAATTGATCAGGCCAACTGGCGACCCTCAATAGACATTGTGGTAAGGAGCCTTCAATCTGCATTACTACTACAGGAGGCTTGGGAGAATCATTGTGAGATTGGTGCTGAGTTACCTGTGATTGACCTTTCTTGTTGTAGCGTTTTCTCTATTGATGGTTACATGACAGTTGGTGGGGTGAGCCTTTTTCCATCAAATATTGATGATGATCTTGCTTCAAATCTTGACGGAGGATCGAATGGGTACCTGTCAGATCCAGATTTTGATAAATTGATTCGTTAATTAAGAAGCTTTTGGATTTGACTGTTTTATACTACATGTACGTCTTTCCATTTTATTCGTTTGGTGTCTTTTATTTATTTATTTATTCATTTTTTATAGTTATGTTTGTCATATGTTGGTGTATATATGTTAGACAATTTTTCATAGTTGGATGTTCGGATTGATGAAATTTTCTCTTGTCATCGTTGAATTTTTATATTCTCGTGAATGTGTTGGGATTTCCTTCATGGTTAATTGTCTAATGTGATTGGGTGATAATCAGTATATTAACCAATTCACAAGGGGATAAAATATAATTTTCCCTATTTGTAATATATCTTCTACAAGTGGAAGAACAAAAACAAAAAAACAAAACAATCACATAAATATCTATTTGTGTTCGCTTTTTTTTTTTTTTTTTTTTTTTTTTTTAATTTTATTTTGAGACCAATATTTCCAGTGACCACCTGAACTTGTTTAGTCTTCTTTAGATTCAATTCCCACTTCTTTTTCCTTTCCAACCCTGAAGGCTTTTTAGTCTATTTTATTGGTTTCCAATTTTTGTTAATTAGAATCTCTTGGTAAGAACAAATCATAAGGTAGAACAAGTAAGAATATGTATCATTGAAATTACTTGTCAAAAAAAGAAAAAAAGAAAAAAAAAGAGAATATGTATCATTGAAATTGAAAAAAGGAACATGAACTACCAGCTGTGATACATATCTTTGAATCCTCTCTTCTTTTTCCTTTTTAAGTTCATACAAAGAAGCACGATTCAGATATGCATTATGGCTAAAGTTTCTTGCTTCCTCTACCGCTGTGTGCAGATAGCCGGCCCAAGCTGATTGCTGGATCACCTGATGGGTATTCGGGGCTTGTGGATGGAAAGCCAAGAGAAGCTAGGATGAATCACCCAAAAGGGATTACTGTAGATCACAGAGGAAATATCTACATTGCTGACACTCTGAATATGGCCATCAGGAAGATCAGTGATGCAGGTAGAGTAGAGTTTTTGCTTAAAAACTGGTACATTTGGATGTACCATACATTTAGTTATGAACTTATATGATTTTATGTCATAACCAATACCATATTAATCATAACCACTATCATATTGACTCATAACTTAGTTATATTCAGTTATTTGTTTATACCATACTATCTCATAATCAAGTCATAACTAAATTACTTAAATAATTAAACTCTCAAATAGGCAACCGGTGTAGCCGGTTAGAAGGGGAAACAAAATTGAATCAGTCGTGTTTGGCCCTCTTGTTGGCTCTTCTCCTCCCTCTTCTCTTCCCTCTTCTCTTCCGCCATAGCCGAAGCTTCCAAGGATCACCAGCCTCGTCGGCGATCCGGGCTTCAGCCATGTCGACATCTTCTTCACAAGCTCTCACTCTCTGGACGTCTCCACCATGGGTTTGTGACCAAAGACCTAGTCATCGTCTTTTCCCTTCCCTTCCAGTCAAATCGAATTTTTCCGAGAACTCTTTTCCGTAGTTCAGGTTTGTTGCTAGCTCTAAGCTTCATCTAAATGTGCCATTGGTGCTTTGATTTCAAAACCCTAACCATTGAATATCTGTTATTAATTTTGTTTATCAGTCAAAATTAATATCCATAGCCACCCAAGATAGTTGTGCCATTGGGGCTTTGATTTCAAAACCGTAATCGTAAAGAATGAATATTTACTTTTCTATGTAATTTTTTGTTACTTCATAGCTGTCTAATCGATTGTTAGTGTGAGGTTGTAGATCAAACTTCAAAAAAAAATCCGAGGTTTTTATTTTTCTCACTTATCTATGTATCTCTAACTTTGGACCCTCTTGAATTCTGGTTATTGTGTTTGTTTCTTATTCAAAGATACCAATGAAGTTCTATGAAAGTTCAGATTGGATCCAAAACCTGACTGTTTGATTTATATGTTATGGAGTTCCTTTAAATGGTGTTTGGTTATATAGATTTGGAACTGAGTGCTGGATCCTGGGATTTTGTAGTCCTTAGGAGTTGAGGCTTATACATCATGGCAAGGATTAAACCTCAAGCTCTGCTACAACAAAGCAAGAAGAAGAAGGGTCCAAGTCGTATCGGTGTCACTACAGTTATTTTATACAGCTTAATTATAGTTGTGATGGTGTTTTTCCTGTTTGCTAGTTACAGACATTGGATTCAGAGGTTTGTTGGAATCTTCTTTGATGAATAAATACTTGTTATTTTGATAAATTGGGATTCAGAGGGACTAGCATGACACCTTGTATCTTGTTAACCAAATTTAATTTTTAGTTTGATTATTCTTCATATGTCTTGAATCTTGTGGGTTTGGTGAAAGACCTATATCGGTTTTCTTGGAATGATTTCTGAATTCTAAATTTAGCAACAACCCATGTATTTAATAAGTGATAAAAAGAATTTTAATTTAATCCTGGACCTGGTGTTTTGAAATATTGTAGGAGGTCTGTTGCAGTGGTATCTGCATTTATTTAGTAACAAAATAGAACCACTTGAAATAATCATTATTTTATAGACCAAAGAGGGCTTTATATGGCTTTTAACTTTTATATGCTAACTTGTGTTTAGGTAAATAATTCAAACAAAGCATCGGTTATCAGTTATTGAGGTACTCTTTTCTGGATAATGTTGTTACCTGTGTATTGTTGTTGTTGTTGTACCTTTCACGAGCATGCGTGTTGGTTATTGATTAGAAAGACTTACAAATTGCTGATATCTTCTTCTCTCTTTGCCTTTTAAGTCATAATGACGACTTATAATGGCAATTAAAGATTTATTAAGTTTATCTTACTTTGTGTGTGTGTGTTTGTGTTTGTCTATTATACAGTGTTAATGCTATTGAGGTTTGAACAAATTCCTTTCAAGTGACCATCACTATTTCTTTATTCTTTCTCTTCATATTTGGTTCTGTGTGTGCTGCAGCGTGACGATGCTTTTGCAGATGGAAAGAAATCTGATGTCCCCGGATATGTTGTGAGTTTCTTTATATCCTAGTCATTGTAAATTGCTTTTATTTTGTTCTTATTTTAAATGTTGATCCACTATATTAGGTATTGCTTTTAGATTTAATCTGCTCTTGAGGAATCATTTCACTTATTGGTCAGTTCAGAGGATGCTACAGGCTTTAGTTTAGATACCAATATGTGGCAGGGAGCTACTATTTTGTTAATAAAGTTTCATTTAGTTCTCCATTTCTCTGTTTGTTGTTTTCGCATAATGTCCATTTATCTTTTTTCTTTTTATTGGGACATGCAGGGGGTATCAGTTCTTTTGGAGAGTCTTCTCAAAATTTTATTGTTTATTGTCTATTGATATACTTGTATATTTTTTTGTTTTTCCTGTTTTAACAGATTTTAAATACCTCAAAAGGGTCAATAACAATCGAGTTATACAAAGAAGGCTCTCCTAAGGTGGTTGATGCATTTATTGACTTATGGTGGGTACTGGACTCAACTCTATTATATTTCGATCCGTTGTTGTGGATTCTTATTTTCATTGTTCACATGGCTGACCTTGTTTGTTTTCCAAATCCTTATTTACTTATTTGCTTACTGCACTTTCTTCCTTGTACATAGTTAATCACTTGAGTGGTTCTTTAGACACATTAACAGCAGTGAGATGAGAGGGTTTAGTGTTTTTGTGGTCTTTATGCTTCTCCAACATTTCATCACATAATTTTTTTGGAATTTATCATTTTACTTGAACCTCAAGCTTTGCCTTCAGTCAAGCAAAGCTATGGAAACTTTAATTTGGTTGGGCAATCTGACGCTTGCAAGTGTATAATCAAAACACATATCATCAATTTGACCTTTGCACTAAAGAAGTAGTTCAATTATTGCATATGCTTAGTGCGTCATCTTTATGTAATACATCACTTGAAAATGGTGTAGGCAGTCTCCACGCAAGCCTTCCACCTAGGGGGATAATTTTTGACTTTGTACATATACTGAAGTTTTAAATTGAAACGATTTTTTAGTCAGAGGGGGCACTTCAAGGGGATGCCTTTTCACCATATAATAAAGAACTTTGTGATTCAAGGAGGTAATTCTGATATACCTAGAGCTACAGATGATTGGACTTTGAAAGTAAAGCATAACAACCAACTCGAAACAAGGTTTGCCCTCCTGTTGACCCAACCTATGGAGTTCTCTTTTTACCTCTATAGTTTCTTATTCTATCCTGGTTACTGAATTTGTGATTTTCATCCAGCATGAAGCATGAGGCGTTTATGCTTGGTTCTACAAAGGCTAAACATGACAAAGAGGGATTTGAGCTTTTTATTACAGCTGCACCAATCCCTGATCTAAATGAGATTGGAAGCTCATCTTTCAGTGAATCAGGAATGGCGAATAGGTTTTGAACAGATTCGGAACAGGTTATATTTGATTCTGAATAGGTTTTGAACAGATTCGGAACAGATTATATTTGGTTTTGAACAGGTTTTGAACATGTTCTGAAGAGGTTAATTTCAGATTTTGAACAGATTCTGAACAAGTTAATTTCAGATTTTGTATTTCAGATTCTGAACATGTTAATCTGGTTTTGAACAGGTTTTGAACAGGTTCTGAACAGGTTAATGTGGTTTTGAACAGGTTTTGAACAGGTTCTGAAGAGGTTAATTCCAGATTTTGAACAGATTCTGAACAGGTTAATTTCAGATTTTGTATTTCAGATTCTGAACATGTTAATCTGGTTTTGAACAGGTTTTGAATAGGTTCTGAACAGGTTTTGAACAGGTTCTGAAGAGGTTAATTTCAGATTTTGAACAGATTCTGAACAGGTTAATTTCAGATTTTGAATTTCAGATTGTGAACAGGTTAATCTGATTTTCAGATTCAAATTCTGAAGAGGTTAATCTGAATTTTAGATTTAGTCAATTTGTGTAGAATGGCAGGTTCAGAAGTAGAATCACAGGTTGATTGTTTGAAGCAGAATGACAGGTTCAGCAGAATGAAGTTCAGAATGATGCAGTCCAGAATAAAGCACTCCAGAATTGAAGCTCAGAATGATGCAGTCCAAAATTTAAGAATGATGCAATCCAGAATTACATGAAGTTCAGAATGATGCAGTCCAGAATTTCAGAATGATGCAGTCCAGAATGAAGCAGCATGGCTATGCACTATTAAAGTAGCATTGAGCAGTCCAAAATGAAGCATTTGGCAATTATATGTAATCTGTTGCTGGATATATGTAATCTTTTGCTGGATAATATGTAATTTTTTGGAGTTGTTATAGATTATGAATGTCTAAGTAGCATGGTAAGAGTTAAATTGAGGTCAATATGATGATTGTTGAACAGAGGTTATAGAAATAAATTTAATGGAATTGAGTTTTGCAGTGTTGTCCATCGAAGCTGAAGCTTAAGAAATAAATTTTATTTTGGGTTTCAAGTACCTATATCCTTCTGTTTTCTGTTTAAATGTTTTAATGATTTCATGAATGAAGATGATGGTGAGTTGAATTTAACAATTGTTAGCAGTTATTTATTAGATCAATTAATAATATGGACATTCTTGGGGAAAAAATGACAGTTTGGGTACTAACATGGTGATTCTCGTGCCTTTTTTCTAATAAATTCTTTTACAGGATATGACAAACATAACACTCATGAACCTCCCCACCTTTCCACTTTACTGCCAAACCTTGTCACCACACCACTTTTCCTTAAAAAAGTAATGTTAGAAAGCAGCCAACAAGCTCTAATAATAACACCTGAAACAAAACCTTAAAAGAAGCCAAGTGAAGGAACTATCAGTTGTGCTATGTTATCTATGCACAGATAAGTAGATTTCTTTAATGCCATGTTTGATTTACTAAAGTAAAAGTTTCTTTAGTCTCCTTATAGGATGACCATTCAATTACAATGGTGAATAATTATTTCATAATTCAACATGTCCATTATAGAAATTCAAGAAATTCAACATGTCTGGTATAAAGTCAACAAGTCCAACAAGTCCATTCAATCCATAATAATACATGTCTGGTATAAATTCAACATGTCCATTCATAATCATCATGTCCATCATAATCCATAAATTCAACATGTCCATTCAATCCATAATCCATAATCCAACAAGTGCATTCAAGTCCATTCAATCAACATGTCTGGTATAAATTCAACATGTCTGACATCATAATTCAACAAGTCCATTATAGAAATTCAATAAATTCAACATGTCTGGTATTGAACTATCAACAAGTCCATTCAATCCATAGAAGTCCATTCAAGAAATTCAACAAGAACTTCAACAAGAAATTCAACCTATCAACAATTATTGAAAATAGAAGTCCATTCAAGTCCATTCAATCCATAAGTACATCCATAAAATCCATTCCATCAATAAGTACATCCATCAAATTCCCCAACAGCTATGAACTCAGTAATTTACATTATAAAATAGAAAACAATACAAAATACAATGACATAAAGCACGACATTCAATTTCTTCTCCATCCTTCGAAGCCTTCTAGCATGCTCTTGAAATTCATTATCCATCTCATAAACCCTTGTGCTTGGATCGTTAAATTCTTCGCTTCTTATAGATGTACGAGGTGCAACATTGGAGATCACGTCGTAGTCATCATCATCTACGAACTTGAAGTAATTGCAGTGTTCCTCACTAATCTACAATGCATGACAATCAGTTAATCAAATCAGGCTAATAAATTTGCAAACAAATTTCCAAACAAATTTCCATAGGACTTACATATTTTGATGGACACAAAGTACACATGCCCTTTATTTCCATTCTGATTGGTTCGCACAATGTGTATGGCAGCTGTTCTCCCACAATCACAAAATCTTGGTATCAATCTTAAGTAGCTATTGTTACTAGAGGAAGAAGCCATTTTGCAATCTACATACAAAATAGAAAATAAATATATATATATATACATACATTAGTAAACATAGCTACTATGAATTAATAACTTAGAGATAAGCTTTTAGATGAATATCTGGGCTGAGAATGAGATTAGGGTTCAAGGACCAAAACATTTGCTACAATACAAGATAAATATATATATATACATACATTAGTAAACATATTAGATTAAGCCATAGATTTTAACTCAAGACAACATTGAACTTGTGCTTAGCTAAAATTGTTATTTTGACAAGAACAGTAAATAAAAAACAAAAATCAGCATAATCAAGACCTTAACTGCTATCCCATAATGCCCAAATTCAACAAGAAATTCTAAATCAAATTCTAAATCAAGTATAATCAAGTCCAGAATCAAGACCATTATAGAAATTCAAGAAATTCAACATTTCTGGTATTAAACTATGAACAAGTCCAGAACCCATAGAAGTCCATAACCTGTTCAAAACCTGTTCCATTATAGAAACCTGTTCCAAATGAACAAAAATCTGTTCTGATAAATGGATAGATTCAGAATCTGAATTAGAACAGCTTTTGAACAGATTCAGAATCTGTATAGTGGAACCAATGAACAAAAATCATTATAGAAACCTGTTCTGAATCAAATTCCATTCAACCTGTAGAAGTCCATTCAAAAAATTCAAAATCAAATCAAATTCTATTCAACCTGTAGAAGTCCATTCAAGAAATTCAACCAGAGGCCCTGCTTTGCTGCTTTGCTGCTTTGCTTACTTCTACAGTCAAATCAAATTAAACCCAAATCAAAATGTGAACATCATGCTAAAGATTATTTAAAAAAAAATAGAAGGACAAAAAAACAACCTCCTCGTCACGAAGCCAAACCCTCGACTTCTTCCACTTATCTTGTCATAGTGCTTCACTTTATTAGCCACCTCTGATGGAGTCAGCTTTGCACCCCATTTATAGAAAAGATTCTAAAAGAAGAATGAAATCGTAACAAATAAAAAAAATATGAATAAATATATGGAGACTCATTAAGGCAATTCATTTGGGTTCTTTGGTATTTTTCTTAATTGACTTGGGTTATTTTTAGGTATTTGGATTGCTCTAAAACACACCCGCAAGTATAACTTTATACACTGTCCAACTTATAGCAAATAATTAATCAAACTTATAAATTTATAACTTTTTAATTAATCAAACTTCACAGAATTTTTTTGACTTATCCTCCTTGTATAAGTTAAGATCTATTCTTACAAATAAGTGATTTATACCCATCGAATTCCGACTCACACAACTCTAAACCTGGTGTTCATGTGCTTCAAATATATTCAAACTTGGCCACTGTTGGCAAGTGGGAGGAAGTGGTACCCATGTCAATTTAAATCAATCCACAAGACAAATTGATCCTGGCTGTTCTCTGATGAGTGAGGAGGCAGATAGCTTTAAATTTCGACTAGCCATAGTGCCTCATTCAGGTGGAATTTCTGGTAAGTTTTTTGAGGATTATTTGGGCTTTTAGAACATGATGAACATTCTTTGTGCATGATTCATATTGGATAAACTGTTTCTTTGACACTGTTTTGCTTTGCAGGAACATTGTTTGTTGGAATGTCAAGCCTAAGAATGTGGGTTCAAGTCTAAGGACCCCCACTTTGTGCAAGTAATGCCAGAAGTTAAAAGTCTGTACCCTATACCCAATTCATCCTTCCTAGCCACCAACACTGACTAATGGATTTTTAATGTCTTTTGATTTTCTTGTGCAGAATTTAGTTAAGGTTGACATGTTAATCTGAAAGCAAAAATCTGAATCATACATGGACGGAAAATTATGTTTGTCGATTCAAATCTTTAATACTGTGTTATGGGTAGAAATCTTTATGTCTCTTTGGTATGTATTGATTGCTCTCCTCTGAAAACTTGACCCTCGGCAATGTATGGACAACCTCAATGGGAAAGTTAACTGGAGTGATGAAATTTGTTTTCATGGAGAATGTAAGTAGAAGATAATTCATATATCATATAAGACTTTCCTCACCACCAGTACAAGTGAAGGAAAAAAGATGTGATGCTTTATTACCACAGCTTCTTTGGTTGCTTTCTCAAATGAGAAAATTGTCCCTTCTTTATTAGAAGGCTGTATATGCTACCAAGAAGGCTGTGAGAATAGTATTTTCCAGAAATAATTGTTATTTTACCATAAGATGCCACTTTAATATTTTTTCGTATATATTTTCATCTAGGTCAAAATATTGGATTCACGGGAGTTTTCAGATTAATTTTCAAACCACTAGTTGACGAGTTTCCATATTTTGGGGCTGTTTGTTATTCTTTGATGGAAAAGGTGGGTACTTTGTATCTTTGTCACTCTTTGAACTTATTAGTCTAGTTTCCAACATTTTGGAAGTCATCTTCATGATAAATCACGCAAATTTGTGCATATATTCATATATTTATCATGTCATCATAAACAGAATTATATAAAATTTTGAAAAATTACTATGCACTTGATTTTTGATACTACAATTCCCCCTATGATTCTACCATAGAAAAACATGGACTTTACACTCAAATTGATACACCCAGTTTAGTAGTTAAATAAGTTACACTCAAATGGACTTGTAATAAAGCTGAAAAATAGCAATAATATGGATAAAATCTATCAAGCTATTTCAACATATTGACTAAATTTAGGCAAACATTGCATGATTATTTCTAAACCAAAATCAAACAACAAACACAACCAAAAAATAAAAGGAAAAAATACATCGAACTCCAGATATATGCAAGAACGATCAGACTCGGGTTTGTGAAGTTCTCTCTGAACAACAACATTAACTCTTTAAACAATTCAAAACACTTAAAGGCTAGTAAAAATATAAACAGTAATAACAATGACATAAAAAATAAAATAAAAAAACACTCTACCCTTAGTATCTATGTACATGCACTCAAGCTATAGAAATCAGAATTTAATACATGAACCTTTCTATTCTCCAAAACAAATTTGCAATTTGTTTGTGTCACCAAATGAAGCTTAGCTTTAGCAGAGTGTAACTTATTCACTAGGTTCTTCACTACATCATTCTGAAATTCCAAAGACAAATGAAACACTGAAACTCCATAATAGCCAAAAGGATCATGAAATGATGTCCATACCACATTTTTTGAAATGATATAGCTCTTAACACTACACTTCCCTGTAAGTTAAGTTCAATAAGTTAGAACAACTTACCTTGTTCATAAGATTTTTATTTATATTTGTGAATGGGGGGACTTCTACTCAAAATCGGGCAATTGTTTGGGATTAAATGTAGTTATGGTAGTTTCTTAGCTTGAAACAGGAAAACACTATCAATTCAAAAAAAAATTTCTTCATGATAATTCCAGGTCAGCTATCATACTGTTCAGATGGTTGTCATGTTTTCCCATCAAAATAAAATCACCATTGAAATAGCATGCAACAGTAACAGATCAGAAGCAAATTTTCATAAATGCCATCTAACATTAAGAAAAACTTCTTTTTAATCACACATCATACCTTCAGTTTCACCTATTTGCTCACCAGTTTTATCCTTGATCTGCATGGATTAAAATCAGTATCATTAGAAGAATTTTTGTTTGGAAGTAAAGAGTTAAATATAATGTTTTTTTTTTGATAAATAATCAAACTTTATTAAAAAAGCATCAAGGCGATACAAAGAGTTAAATAGACCAACCAACAACCAGACACAACACCCAGAGCAGGAATACTTATGCAGAGCAGGCATCTCACATTACTGAGACAACAACCAGACACAACACCCTGAGCAAGAATACTTATGAAGAAGTTCCTTGAACATATGTAATTGTCAGAGGACATATAGGGTTAGATTTTGGAATGAACGTAGGCTGCCAGAAGAGAGGGGGCAGGGGTTGCTCTTGAGAGAGAACTTGTTCCAACTTAGAATTCTGCAAGAGGTAACCTCCAAGTTTGGAGGTTTTGAGGTCAAGTACTAGTACACACAATTGATTGCAGATTGTAAGTATTTTTTCCTAGTAAAGGGATATCAAATCCAAACTAACAATGTGTTTATGTGTGTCTACGAGATAGACATGTATTCTAAATGTCCAAAGTCCACCTAAAAACATCTAAAAATATAATAGGGCATGTCTGAATGGGTGCCCAACACATGTCCAACATGGACATGGAACCTTTTTAGAAGAATCCGTGCTTCTTAGATTTAGCTAGATTCTTGTACTTGTATGGGATGATAGCATGTGTTTCCCTTGGACTTTCTACATGAGTTGTATCCACTTTTAGCACCTTTTGTAAATCTATCTCTTATTAATAAAAAAACATAACCAGATCCTCTAGAAATCCTTGATCATGTGAAGATTAACAATACACTTGAAAGTCCAATATCAACTATAAAAGGTGTTCTGAAGGATTCCAAGGAAAAGGACTTGAGTTTTAATAAAGAGGAGCTAAGAAAAGTTGAAGAAAGGTTGAAACTTGAATTTATCGAATTCTATCAGAAGCTTCGTCTCCTAAAGAATTACAGGTAATAAACCGAACATGGTCAATGTGAATTCGGTTGTGGAAAGATGTTCATGGTTTTTTATTTTATTATTTTTTGTTTTCTCATTTTCACATTTTTCCCTTCTGACTTGTCAATTATTATATACTTCTTGTTTTGCAAATGAATGAACCAGCTTTATGAACCTCTCATCATTTTCCAAGATCATGAAAAAAATCCGAGAAGGTCAGAATTTGAATTAAATGACCCAAATAGTTCTTTCTACTGTCAACTCATAGATCACTTGTCATGCTATTAGTAAGCATGAATAAAGATGACTGAAGTAAAAAAGGCAAAGGAGTGATATTAGTTAAAAGGTAAATGAATCCTACTAAAACGAAGAAGTAGAATGTCAAACTGAAAGAAAAGATAAGTGTATACAGGTGACACTCCTTTACTGAATTTACTTTTATAAACTATGACTCCTAGAAAAAATGGAAAAATGAATAAATAAAGTAATGCTTGCAATGTGAACTGACACCGTAATTCAGCGAAAGTACCTGGGAGTTCTAAACAAGAACATCAATGGACACAAGATAAGGAGCTACATTAAGGGTTTTGTTAACAAAGTGAACACGATCTTGAATTTTTTTCTCTGCCACAAAGTTACGCAAAAAATGAAGTGGTATTTAGGGGTTCATTCAACATAGGAGAAAATAGCTTTATGGTTGAAGATACTAGGAATAACTAGTTTGCAAAAACCATCACTTTTTACTAGACTGAAACAGACGGGGATTCTATGAGCACAAGCATTGACGAAGGAATATTTCTACTGACTTGTGCATTAGAGACCAAAGAAAGGTTTGCCTAATGAATAGTACATATAAAGAGAAACATTACTGTGGATTACTAAAATAGTTATGTGAATTGTTGTCAATTGAAAAAAGAAGGGCGTCAATAATTTCAAATAATTCAAAACCTACAAATTAACAAAACTCATCACAGAATTACCTACAATGTTGCTTAAATTTTCTTACATGTGGGAGATGCAAGATAATGCATTAAAATACAGGACATCTAACAAAAGAAAGGGAATTTCTATTACTTAGCAAATGAGCAATTCTGGCATGAATTTAGACCATGTCTAGCAGGGACATCATTATCATTCATCATTCATTACAAGAACCAAGGATGTGAAATGCAAAACAAGGGCATCATTGTCATTTATTAGTCATTATCCTTACAATAACTTT